AAACTGGAAATCTAGCAAGCAGGAAAAGTCTTATCCAGTTGGGTCATCAATGAGTCTCTCCTTTGATAATCATGTATGTGTCATCTTTCCCTCAAGTTTAGACGTGACTCTCTCCAGACTACACATGACCAATCCAAAGATGCTAAGTTATCTTTCCTTGTATGGAAAACAGTGTAGTGAGAGAGGGACAGGATAAGAGCACTTTATACTTCTGCCCATCAAAAAGGGGAAAGATAACATACAGTGGTAGTCATTTTCTAGAGCAATTTTAAAAACATTCCTCTTCAGGAGCTGGAGGAAGTTTTGGAGGGTTTGCAGTTCATTGTTCACTGTTGTCCCTGGAGCCATTTTATGAGGAGTTCTTGGCCACAACTGAATAGGAAAATGTGCTTATTTTGGTTTGAACAGTCTTGTCCCCTGACTCTCTGCCATTAAAATGTGAGGACCAAAGGGCTACTTTAAATCATTTGGAGCTACATCACAATTTATTTGGAGTTTTCTCGTTTAGTTTTGTTTTTGTTTGGGGCATTATCCACCTACTTTTAAAACTCATGAGAGGAAAAAAAGACAAGAATCTAGGCACAGGCACAGGGAAACAATGAAGTCAGTTAAAGAAAGGGCTCTCAGAAAACTTCGACAAATTAGAGAGTGATAATGTACTGCCATGCCGGCATAGAAATGAATGGGGACAGAACAGTGACAGAGGCATCAGTGAGCTATCAGGAACTTTGCAGAAGAGGAGTGGGTGGGAGAGAATGAGAGCCCTGGAGGGGAATCCATCCTCATTGTGGAGAGAATGAAAGAAGGGAGTGCTCACTGGCAGCCCAGTCCTCGCCATGTTAGAGGACATAACAAACCTGGTTAGAGTAATGTGAGAATAGAATTCAAATTGGCTCATACATTTTTGAGTCAGTGCATAGACTACAGTTAAATTCAGATGGAACCATATGGTCTGGGCCCTCTGTACTTTTTATTTTATTTCTTTATTTAAAATCAGCCCTTTTGAAAAAGAACTCATCTACCATACAGTGCATTCACTTAAAGTATACTATGCCCTGGTGTTTAATGCATTTATAGAGTTGTGCCGCCATCATCAGAGTCAATTTTAGAACATTTTCAGCACTTGCGAAAGAACTTTGTACCCATTAGTGGACATTCCCCAGCCCCAGGAAACAAATAGCTTTACTTTCTACCCTGCTAGACTTGAGTAATTCCGGACATTTTATTTTAATAGAATCATACACTATGTATATTTTAACCAATTTCTTTCATTTAGCATTATAATTGTTCACCTATGTTGTTGCATATATTATTTTTAATCCATCTTATTGCCAAATATCGTACTGCTATTATAGAATTCCATCCATTTTATTGCCAAATAATGTTCCATTATGTGAATATGGCACTTTATTAATTTACTTGACAGCAGATTAACCTAGGATTGTTACTGTTATCACTTTTTTACTGTTATGAAATTAGTGCTGTGGACATTCATATATAGTTTCTTATGGATACATGTTTTCACTTGTCTCAGATATAATTGAGATGTGAAATTGCTGAGTCCTATATTTTTTTTTCATTTAAACTTTATTTTAGCTTTTTGGGTCACACCTACGATGCACAAGAGTTACTCTGCACTCAGAAATTACTCCTGGAAGTGCTCAGGGGACCATATGGGGTGCTGGGGATCATACCTGGGTCAGCTGCATGCAAGGCAAATGCCCTACCTGCTATGTTATTGCTCCAATCCCTTATTTAAACTTTTATTTTTAAATTTTTATTACTGACACACCATTAATACCAGTAACAATGATGGGTCTCATTCTCCTAAAGAGCCTTGAATATAATCTCAGGGCTAGGATGAAAGAGACGTTACTGGGGCCTGCAGAAGGCAATAGATGAATAACAGAATGATGAAATGAAATGAAATGAAATGACACACCATGAGGTAAAATCCCTTATTTAAACTCTTGAGGAACCTCCGGACTCTTTTCCAAATAGTTGCACCACTTTATATTTGCAGGAGCAATATAGGGTTCCCATTTATCCACAGCCTCATCAATTTTCTTAATGCATTTGAATGGCAATTAAAAATTTAGTTGCAAAACATCTTGTATGTTTTGGGTGCAGTTTCCTAGTGAAATTTGTGCACTTATTGTTTATTTGTACACCTTCCTTGGAGAAATGTCTGTTCAAATCCACTGCATATATTTTTAACTTTTAAAATTATTTAAAATATTTAATTAAATCTTAAATTTTTTAAATATTATGAATAGTTTAAATAATTGTTTACAATTATATAATGCTTTTGGTATACAAAGTTAGTGCATCTCCACAGTGTGCCCAAACCCTAAACCACTGTCTTTATGTCACTTCTAGTTCAGTTCTTCCATCCCTGCCCATGTCCCTTTGGAAGTTCCCTTAGATTTGTTATCATTGACTAGTGTTGTTTCCTTCGCTTTACTTCTTTTTATGTTACATATGAATGTGATCATCTGGTATTTACCCTTCTCTCTCAGACCAGTTTCATTTAACACGACACCTTCTAGCTCTACCTACTGTATCACTGTATCACTGTCATCCCATTGATTGTCAGTTACTCAAGCAGGCACCAGTAACATCTCTATTCTGCCCAGCTCTGAGATTTTAGCAGCCTCTTCTTACTCATCTTTTCCCAATGATTGGAGGCTCTTTCAGGGTCAGGGGAATGAGACCTGTTGTGGTTACTGTATTTGGCATATCGAATACGCCACGAGGAACTTGCCAGGCTCTGCCCTTGTGGGCGGAATACTCTCGGTAGCTTGCTGGGCTCTTCGAGAGGCATATATTTATATATTTTTCTCTATGATTTGTTGCCTACTGTCTGAACCCCATCAGATATGGTGTAGTAATTGTGGAAAATGTGTAGGAAAGTAACCTGGAGCATGGCAGTGGTTGGGCAGTGAAGGTCAGCTGCCAGGGCTAGGTCCCTTTGGGTGGGGAGGGCTCTGACCTGCCCCAAAGTCTGAAGCAGAGTCCGGTGGCATGGTTCTGAGAGCCTCATTTTATACTCCGGTCTGGGAGGAGCATTCTGAGTTCCGGAGGGTGGCTGATGAGGAGATTACCTGGTGCCATCAGGGTATGGCTTATGATCGGAGTCACCGGAGACTAGGGGAAGCAGGCAGAAGATCTCTGTTCCAGGTCCTGTTGAATCCAGAGTCCAAGGTGATAAAGTTCTGCATTATCTGGATTCCATGGGACTTCATTCATGCGTGAGGCTCGGCCTGTGTGTCCAGAAAGTGGCCTGGAGCATGGCAGTGATTTGGTAGTGGAGGCCGGCTGCTAGGGTTGTCCCCTTTGGGAGCTCTACCTACATGGTGGCCAAATGCAAATGTTTAGTTTTTCTCATAGCTGAGTAGTATTCCACTGTCTGCATACATTACAGCTTCTTTGTTCACTTACCTTTTTTGCATTCATTTTTAAAAATGAATTTCAAAAATCTATAGCATATTTTGTTCTAGTTGATTCCATTGTTAAAAAGTCCTGTCACTGTCCTGTCACTGTCCTCCCCTTGTTCATCGATTTGCTTGAGCGGACTCAGTAACATTTCCATTGGAGACTTTGTTGTTACTGTGTTTGGCATATCGAATACATCACGGGTAGCTTGCCAGGCTCTGCCGTGCGGGCAAGATACTCTCGGTAGCTTGCCGGGCTGTCCGAGAGGGGCGGAGTTATCGAAATTGGCTCGGCCATGTTGACTGCATGCAAGGGAAACGCCCTACCGCTGTGCTATCTCTCCGGCCCTGTTAAAAAGTACTGATTAAAAAAAATATAGTAACTTAAAACAGCCACACACACATACACGCAATAACAAATGGTTCACAAAACATTTTCTTATCCTTCTAAAGGTTTTGTGATGCATTGCTATCACTAACCAGTCTTTCACTATTTACTTTAAGTGGTTAATTGAGACAAACCATTCTGAGACTGTTCTTCAAGTACTGGAAATAATATTCATTTAATCTCCTGAGCCTTCTGGGTAATCTTGCCAGCTCACTTACTTTGATGACATCCACAGCAACGGTCTGTCTCATATCGCAAAGAGCAAAACAGCCCAGAGGAAGGTAGCCGGAGAAGCTCTCCACACACACAGCCTTTTCAGGTACCCTATCAGTGATGGCAGCATTGCCAGATTTCAAGAACTTGGGGCTGTCTTCCAGCTTTTCCTTGGAAAGACTATCAATCAGTCTTTTCCTTCAGCTCAGCAAGTTTGCAAGCAGTGTGGACTGTGGGACAATCCAGCACAGGTGCATAACCAACAGTGATTTGACCTGGATGGTTTAGGATAATCACCTCAGCTGTGAAGTCTGTTGCTTCCCTTGGAAGGTCATTTTTGCTGTCACCAGCCACAGTGCCATGACAAATATCTTTAACAGATGTTCTTGACGTTGAAGCCCACATTGTCCCCATATTAGGATCGGGTGTAATTTCCTTTCACCTTCCATTTCTGAGTATTTTATTCATCTAATAATATAATTACATTCATATTAACCTATGCAATAGCTTTTTAGTTTTTTCTTTTGCTTGTTCGGGGGACACCAAGTAAGTTCTCAGGGCTTACTTTTGACTTTGCTCTTAGGCAGCACTCCTGGCAAGGTTTGAGGACCATATGGGATGTGGGGTTCCAACTTGATGAAGTGTGTGCAAAGCAAGTACCTTATCTGTTGTATTACCTTTTGTGCTGGAGCGGTAGCACAGCGGGTAGGGAGTTTGCCTTGCATGCAGCTGACCTGGGTTCAATTCCTCCACCCTCAGAGAGTCCGGCAAGCTACCGAGAATATCTCACCCTCACAGCAAAGCCTGGAAAGCTACCTGTGACAGATTCGATATACCAAACACAATAACAACAAGTCTCACAATGGAGATGTTACTGGGACCACTTGAGCAAATCGATGAACAGGAGGACAGTGCTATAGTACTACAGTGCCCCTGCAATAGCTTTCCTTCCCTGTCTGCCAGGGCAAGAGTGCTAAATTTGTTCTCTACTACCATAAATTATGAAGTAGAGTTTCCCACATTTGGGAAAATTGTAGGGGTCAGCACATCTGGAATGCAGTGGAGAAGGTTCTCCCTGGAAAAAAAAACATCTTCATGACCATGGTATCTTCTTTGCCAGTTAAATATTGCAACAGCTTTTTTAATCAGTTAAAGGAATTTAGAATTCTTTCATAATTGAAGCATTTCCTGTTACTCTTTCTATTTCCATGCAGATTTAAATTACTGTTTTGCTTTCTGCCTGAAGAAGTTCCTTTATTATATCTCTTTAAGGTGTGTCTAGTTTCAGTGAATTCACTCAAATTTTGTTTTACTGTAAGGTGTATATTTTGCATTCATTCAAAAATAGTGTTGTCTGATATAAAATTATTATATGGTAGTTATTTTCTAATATTCCATTAGATATCTGGATATCATTCCCATGCCCTCTGAATTTCATAGTTCTTATGGGAGGTCTTAATTTTATGAGTCATTTTTCTTTTTATTTTTCCTCTTGCTTCTAAATTTTCTCTTTTGTCTTTTAGTATTTCTGTTATGATACAAATATGTAGACATTTTCACATTGATTTTATTTTAAATTTGTTGAGTTTTTTCAAGTTCTAGATGTTTGGGGACTTTTTTGAGTACTTCAAGTTTTCTTTTATTTTCGAATCCTTCATAATTTTATGTTCCTTTCCCCTTAACCTCTTCTTCTGATACTCTTTGCATGTTTGTTAGGATGCTTAATGGTATTGTATATTTCTCTAAAGTTCATTGCTATTTCTCTTTTATATCAACTACTTAATATCTGGAGCTGGAGCGATAGCACAGTGGTAGGGCATTTTGCCTTCACGCAGCCAACATGGCTGACCCGAGTTCGATTCCTCCGTCCCTCTCGGAAAGCCCGGCAAGCTACCGAGAGTATCTAGCCCGCTCGGCAGAGCCTGACAAGCTACCCGTGACGTATTCAATATGCCAAACACAGTAACAACAAAGTCTCCAATGGAGATGTTACTGGGCCAGCTCGAGCAAATCGATGAACAACGGGAAGACAGTGACTTAATATCTATTGATCTATTTTAAAGTCTATTTATTCTTTATTCTGACATTCTAGTCTAGTGTTAATCCTGTCCAGGGAATTTTCAATTTCATGTATTATACGTTCAAATACATAAATTTCAATTTTTCTCTTATAATTTATACATACTGAATTTCTCTAATTGGTGAGACATTGTCACCTTACAAAAGGATTTTTGTTTTCAATTTTTCCTGTTTTACTTTTGGGTCACACCCAGCGATGTTCAGGGATTAGTCCTGGCTCTGCACTCAGGAATCACTCCTGGTGGTGCAGGGGACCATATGGGATGCTGGGCACTGAACCCAGATTAGCTGTGTGCAAGGCAAATGCCCTACCTGCTGTACTATTGTTCCAGCCCTTTCATTATCATTTTTACTGAGGCAATGTGGTTTCCAGTACTGAAAATTACTGTGCACGTTATCCCGCACCTTCACCAGAGTGTCTGCTTCCCTCCACCATTGTCCCAAAGGCCCCTCTAATCACCCCCATCCCAGGTAAACCCAACTCTGAGTCTCCAGTTCCTGTCATAATTCTTATAATTCTCAATCATATCTTTCTCTAGTTCTTTGAATATATTAATTATAACTTTTTTGACATTTTTTTCTGATAAATCCCTTATCTGAATCTTCTTTATTTTTTTTTCTTCTTCTTTTTTTTCTTTTTGGGTCAACCTGGAAATACACAGGGGTTACTCCTGGTTATTGCACTCTGGAATTACACCTGGCGGTGCTTGAGGGACCATATGGAATGCTCGGAAATGAACCTGGGTCAGCAAACACTCTACAAGTTGTACTATCACTCCAGCTCCTCTTCTAAATCTTCTTTGAAATAATTTGTGTTGTCACCTTTATTTCTATGTATACATAAGTCACACTTTACTGTTTATACTATACCTTGTAACAATGTGGGTATTTCCCTCATCCTTTATTGAAAAATAAAGTACCAGCTTTATGATCCTGATGTTAATAAAAGTATATGGAAGATTACATAAAGTAAAAGGAGTTGGAAAATCTTTGACTTTAGGATTATAAAAAATTAAATTTTCTTGTTTTAATTAGATGATTTTGATCAAAATTTTTCACTTGATCACTTGATCACTTGAATCGTTGATTTGCTCGAGCAGGCACCAGTAACGTCTCCATTTGTACCTGTCACACGCTATGTGAAAGGCGTCTGTTCGCTCTAGGATCACGAAGAGCCTCAAACCGATCGTTCATGAACTTGAAGAAGAAGTCTGACCATCTGGTAGGTGGGAGGCCACATGGTCTTTTGCCATCCCGAGGAATCCAGTCAGTAACAGCTCTAGTCCAGTGGTCATCTCTAAATCTCGTTACATGATCAACCCATCTGATTTTGGACACCTTGGCAAACGAGACAGCGTCCCTGATTCTTGAGCGTCGATGGAGGTTGGAACTCTGGATTCTTTCTCTCTTTTGAGTGAAACGTGATATTCCAAGCATAGCCCTTTCAATTCCTCTTTGGGAGATCCAAATAGCATTCTCATCCAGTTAGCGTAGGGCCCAGGTTTCTGAGGTGTATGTTAATGCAGGAAGAACAGTGAAATCAAAGAGATGTGCCTAGAGCCGGAGGTTCTTCATCCTCTTAGCTATTTCTTCGACGCTCTTGAAGGCGTTCCAAGCCGCCCTCTTCCTTCTGCACAGTTCGGGTGCCATGTCATTTGTCATGTTGACTTCTCGACCTAGGTACACATAGCTGTTGCATTCGAAGACGGTCATTCTGTTGAGAGCGAATGGGGCGTCAGGAATGAGGCTGCTTCTCATAAACATTGTCTTCGTAAGATTCAGCAGTAGTCCGGCCTTTCCACACTCACAGTCGAAGTTGGCCAGCATTTGTGCCGCATGGCTAATGTTTGGTGTTATTAAAACAATGTCATCAGCAAAGCGGAGGTGATGTAGTTGCCGATCATCTATCTTCACTCCCATTCCTTCCCACTCGAGTCATCGCATGATGTTCTCGAGGGTGGCACTGAAGTGTTTCGGTGAAATGGTATCACCCTGCTGAACCCCTCTCTTGACATCAATGATTACTTCTTTGTAGAATGGTGAGATCCTGGTAGTGAATCCATAATACAGCTCACAGAGGATCTTGATGTATTGAGTTTGAATGCTCTGATTGGCTAGGGCTTCAATGAAAGCTTCCGTCTCAACAGAATCAAAGGCCTTCTTTAAATCAATGAACATTAGACAGAGGTGCATCTTGAACTTCTGAGAAACCTCAATGAGCTTGGTTATCATGTGGATATGGTCAATGGTGCTAAATCCTTTGCGGAACCTGGCTTGCTTGCTTGGTTGTCCTTCATCTGGTGTTCTGCCAATCCTATTCAGGATGATTCGAGTGAACAACTTGTAGATGACAGACATTAGGCAAACTGGGCGATAGTTGCCAATGTCATGGATGTCTCCCTTCTTGAACAGTCTAGTACAGTCCTGCTGGTTTCCATTGGGATGGAACCTTGCATTCAGACAGGTAGCGTGTGAAGAGCCAAGCCAGCATATTGATGAGTACTGACAGGAGGTTCTTCAGGTGTTCAGGTCTGACCTTGTCTGGGCCGGGTGCTGTTCATTTCTTTACTGATGAAATGGTGTGTCGAATTTCGGAAGGGAGAGCATTGGGAAATGACATATCCATCCTCTGGAATTTGGTATGTCGGCAGGTGGACATGGCTATCGAAGAGATTTGAGTAGAAGTCCTGGAGAATCTTCTCCATTTCCTTTCTGGAAGATGTGATAGATCCATCAGGATGTTGGAGGGCAGTCATCTTGGTCTTGTAGTTGGCGGAGGACAGGCGGGCATTACGAATACTTTTCCCGGCTTCTTCCGCATCTACCAGCACTTCTCCGCTTCTCTCTTTGAGGTCTTCCTTGATTGCATCTCTGCACTGCTTTGCAAGCTCAGATGTTCACTTGCCGTTGCCTGAGGCATGCGCCAAACCATGTTGGCAAATAAACTCAAGAGTTTTCGAAGACAGGCATTTATTTGTGACTATCTCTCTCTTGGAGTTCCTCGCACAATCATGGAAGTGCTGAACCAGTCGATCATATTCCTCGTCAATATTGTCAACATTGGCATCTTCCCATGTTGCCGCAATAGTGCCAAAGAGCTCCCAGTTGGTGGTCGTTCTGGGAGTTCTCTTTTTAAACTTTGCAGCCCTTTCTTCCTGCTCTGTGAAGTAGAATTTTGCACGAAGGAGACGTGGTCCGATCCCGTTTGGAATTTTGTGGCAACAGCGACATCGGTCAGGCAAAACCGTCAATTAAATATGATGTGGTCTATTTTGTTGTGGAATTGTCCACCGGGAGACTCCCATGTCCAACGTTTAGATTCGGCCTTCTGGAACTGTGAGTTATCATGGATGGTCTTGGTCGACATGATGAACTCAGACAGAGAATAAAATTTTGTGAAAGCTATTCATGCCTATTCTCAACTCATTTTAGGAAAAAATATCACACAGATATAGAGGAAAATAGAGGAGATGGCATAAAAATCATAAAAGAAAATAGAGAATTTTTGTGAAAGTAGAATTTCAGAAAGCAAATTTTTTTTTGGCTTTTTTAAGGGGGTCACACCCGGAAATGCACAGGGGTTATTCCTGGCTTTGAATTTAGGAATTACTCCTGGCAATACTTGGGGAACCATATGGGATGCAGGGAATTGAACCTGGATCGGTGTGTGCAAGCAAATGCCCTACTCGCTGTACTAACACTTCAGCCCCAGAAAGTAAAATTTTTAATAAAATTATATTCAAAGGAGAGCATTGATAGATGGGACAGAAAACCATGATTGAGAGTAAAGAATATCTGCATAATAAGTTATGGTGGACAGACAAATAGACAGATGTATAGTGAACTGAAAAAAATAATCCATATTTTGCATTTCCTTGGCTGTAGAAAAGAATTGCCATAGAATTCACAGAGTTTTATGAGTAAAGTCATGAACTATACCAAAAGTGACCTATCTATGAGTTAAAACCAAAATTACAAAATTATAGGTCATAAGAGTGGTCTTATTTAGATGGTTCTAGAATATGTGCACCAATGTAACTTTTTGCTAT